GACAAAACAAACCTTTTCACCTCTGTCCTGTTGGGGGACACTGTCACGTTGTTTGGACCTCACATGTAAATTGCCTACAGTCGACTCAACACAACACGTCCACATGTAATCAAGGACAACAACATCCTCGCAAACAAGTGTGTGACCATATAAAGTGACAGGAAGTGTCAATAAAAAACAACAAAAACACATTATAGAGGAGCATGATGGAGCAAAAAACACAGTCTGTGAAGCTTCGGTGACTTCCTTCTCGTCAGACGGAGACAACAAAGCCTCACCGCCCCGTCAACTTCTTCTTCCCTTTTTTATTTTTATCATGGCATGAATCAGATATAATTTCTTTTTTTCTTTTTTAAAGGGACAGGCGGGGGTGTACGGGGTGGCCCTGACTTTTCCCGCTCTGATCCAGGGTTGACATTTTCATTTAATGCTAACAACCTTCATCAATAATGCTGAAGTTGTCTCTCTCCTAACACACTCGCTCATTCTTTCTCCTTCTGCAGCCTGCCTGGGTTAAAAATAGCTCTCCCCTCTCTCTTTCTCTGCTTCTCCGTTTACATAAGCACACAGAGGGGGGAGGGGAGCACTTCCGGTCTGGCCACCCAGCCCAGCATCTGATCCATAACACTGGGGCTGCTGGGTGTGGGAGAGAGGAGAGGAGAGGAGAGGAGAGGAGAGGAGAGGAGAGGAGAGGAGAGGAGAGATCCCGCAATGCAGGGAAGCCCTCTCTTTCTCGATTTCAATTCATCTCTTCAATACTGTCTCTTCTTCAATCATTCTGTCTCTCCGCTCGCAACTTTCTCCGTCCAGGAAGCTTTGTCATGATTGTCCTACCTCTGCTGTCTCCACTGACACCGCACCTCCCAACAATAAAAAACATGCAGCACCACGTCCATAAGTGACAAAACACCTGTGGACGTGCATACAGTCTAAATGACAAGGACGCACATACAGTACACACCCACGTTACTGTACTTCAATAAAAAAAAAATTGCCACTTTATAAAACAACACCAGTACTTTTTAGAGGGAAGTATTCTACTTTTTATTACCTACATTTATTTGGAAGCTGTAGCCACTAGTTAGCATTTTAAGTTTTAAGATTCTACATTTAAAAACCACACAATAGACAATATATAAAATCCAATATATTGTTAAGGATTAAATTAGTGGTCCAAATCCTCTTAGCTTGTGACCTCTTACAAAAAGTAGTGTCATGTTTCTGATAACTATTACCCTTTTCCAATAAAATTGGCGTTTATGTGCAGGTTTTTTTAAGCACAGGAAAACCCGCTAAAAATGGGCAACAGACTCCCTTCTCACTGCCAGTAGAGTCACAAACACACTGGAAACAGGGTAAGTAAACAGTAGAAAGCAGCATGGCGGCCAGTGAAAATATTACAGTGGTGTTAGGGACAAAATTTTGTGGCGGCGCGTCAGTGCATTGCGCTGGATAAGGAGCAAAAATTAGCACATCAGTCCTGATGCTGCATCTCCATCACTGCCGATTTAAGTCAATCGGAGCTGGAGCCGACAAATACTCGTGACTACTGCTGAATTAAGTGTCCCGGGAGTAAATGCTGATTGTAACCTTTACCATTTAAGACAAAAGCCAGATGTTAGTGGGATTATTGTTGAGTGGAAAAAAAGCTTTTACGCTGTTAGCAAGTTTATCAAACAGTAACTTCGTCACTTAACTTCTCAGATGGTTTCATTTCAGTTCTCTCCAATATTTCACAAAAAAAAGAAAATCCCAGAGAAAGGTCCAAAAAAAGAAAACAAAACTGTGTGGCAGACTTTTGTTCTATTTTTCTAACCCTCATTAATCATCTCACAACTGCCCAGATTCATCCTGTGACCCTTCAGAGGGGCCTGACCTGGCCTGAAACCACTGGAATCAACTTCCTAACTTTATATAAGGTGGTTAAATCTAGCTCCACCTCGACCAGCTACAACTGTGTCACGTTACTTACAAACTGATCGGTATCACAGGGGACATTTTTTTCTGCACTCTGCTTTGATCATTTATAAATTTTGCTGTTCATATATTCATATACTTTCACTAAAAGGAGTTTGAATGCAGGACTTTTACTTGTTAAAGTTACACATACAAAAAAAAACCAACTGCCTGACACATGCATATTGATGCACCAGCATATACTGTACACAAACACACACGGGAGAGAGTGGGCAAGCCTCCGCCCTCCAAGAGCTCTGGCTTCATGTGACCACTGCATGCCTTATAACAGAAGCAGGCCTAACTGAGATCACAGTGGATGAGAAAAAAAATACCAGAAAATAAAGAAATAGTTTGGAAACAGAGGAGGGAGAGCCGGGAAGGCTCCGGAAGATGAAGATTTTAAGGGAAAAAATTACATGTCTCATCTTCAGCATTTGTGACAAGTAATTTCAATGCACAAAACACCAGCAATGAAAACACTTGAGAGGCAGCAGGGATACAAAGAAACCTGGGTCGCTGTCACCGACCACAGACACACACAAACTACCAGGTCAGAGTCTGAGCTGTTAGGCAAGACTGCTAACTAGAAAGCAAACTTATTAAAAAACTTTTAAACTGCTCAATACATGGCCGGACAATCTGCAATCAAGCACCACAAAATGTTAAAGGACAAAGGGCAGTCCACACCAAGAACGATAATTACAACAATAGCTATTGCTTTAAAAATCTTTCATACTAAAGTGGGTGGCAGAGTCGACACCACAGACCACCACACTACAACAACAGTAGTGAACAATACAGTTGAAATCACTTTCAGAGGGATTTGATGAACAACAGAAATACTGATGACCAACAAATATCCATCCGTATTTAGAGGGCATCACGTTCAACATGGCAGATCTTCATAAAGAAGAAGGGTATCTTTGAAGCAACCGATCTCACCCTTCAGAATCAGATGCAAGTGTTTTTGTTATCAACGTATACAAGAGATGATTATCATCTAGCATTACCTCAGGTAGCCTAATGACAACCATATTACCTCCTTTAAAGAGAATAAACCCCTCATGGCTATAACAGTAGTTTCTACTTGAGGCTGACATTTTTTTGGGAATCCTGTGGGTCACGAGAGAGAGTCCTGTAGGATTCCCGCAGAATGAGAGTTCATTTCACTCTTCATCACGTGACTGGGACAGGTAAGGAAAAAAGTCAACGAGAGCTATTGGTTTGTTTCCACAGACCATAGGAAGTATATGTCTGTACGTATGAGCACCATCATTTTATGTGAAGCATGGGAAGTTAAATGGATCGTTAGTTAATGGTGATTTCCATTATGTTTTAGCATTGAGCTAACGGACTAAGCACTGGTTACTTGCCACACGGTTGTAGCAATTAAATCCAGAATCAAGAACAGACTATTATCACGTAGATTTTCACTCACAAGGACTTTGCCTTGGTGTTTGGTGCACATAATATGCAAATCAAGAGGAAATAAAACTGAAGACAAAGTACTGCAATAATCAGTAACATAAAAAAAATTACAATAAAAATATGAAAAACTATATGATAAAAATATGAACAATATAGCTGTGTTAACTGTGAGGAGGTTATTTCACCAGTGTGCTATACTGACTGAATATGCTTAGTTTTTATACCTAAATCTGGCGTTCTAATATGTATAAACTATTTTTTCTTCATGTTTAAAAGCACTACAAAGGAGCGGGATGGGACAGAAGTTATTCTTCAGGGATGGGGACAGGATGGCAATTCGGCTTTTACTCTGTCATGAGATAAGGACGGGACAGGAGTCTTTCTGTGGGAGTGGGATGGTACAGGAGTGAAAACCTGGTAATCTACTCCCATGTCAGCTTCTAGTCTCTATCAAGCACGAAATACTCACTTTCACTTTACAGTGCTTGAATTGTCTGGGCTCACACCCTTAAATCCATTGACTGATTCGTCTGGCATTGTGATATGAAACAGTGGATTCTCGGCTAAAATTAGAAAAAAGAGCCAATCGTGTCATGAACATGAGCAGGACTAACGCTGTTGTCAAACTGTGCGCTACAACTAGTGAGAAGCAGGAACAACAATGGCAAGCGTTATAGATGAGATAGACGCTGGAATCAAGCCTGTTCTAAAATGACATGTGTTCTCAATATCACCTCACATCGTAGTTTGTTTGACTTCACTCCTCTCCACTATTAAAACCCTGGCAAAACAAGTATGTTGCCACAGCTACGCATCAGTATGGACCTAAAATGACGGTAGATTCAGTTGGACATCATGTCTCTAGTGATTGGTTAGGGAAAACCTTGAATCCTCCTCCCCATAGAAATCTGTTAGAGTTGACGCAATGTCAGACTGAAGATGGAAAGAGGGTGTAAAAAGTTGACAATTCTGTCTGATGTCAGGTAAGAGCATGAATTCTACACAAAGGAAACTGTGTTACTGTTCATCAGTGTGGATGCTCACAGCATTATAGTAAAGTTCTTGGTGTGGACTGCCCTTAAGTCTGGTGATAATCTTTTTTTTCTGGTCAATGAGTCCCATGAAAAGAACATGTGTACCAAATTTCATGACAATCCATCCAACAGTTGTTCAGTCTGGTCCAAATCAGTGGACTGACTGACAGACCAATGTTGCCATAACTAGAGCTATGCTGCTAGCATAGCTAAAAACAATTAAAAGCACATCATCGAGCCACATCTTTGCACTGGCTGACATGTTTCTGCATTGCAATGAACACCATAGTTTATTTTCCATGCTGTAACACACTTAGAGCAGATACACTGTGTAGATAGCACAGCATTCATTGTCGCCTCATGAGCCTTGAACACTTTGCACTCACAGTAACCACATGTTAAAACGACCAAACACCCCAGTGTGGGTATATACGTATGTGTGAATTTCAGAGTCAGAGAGAAAAAGGAAGTGTGTCTTTTGTCTGCCTCCACTTAGAAACATATGTATGTTTAATTGCAAGAGTGTGTTTGGAGATGAAAGTAAAGGAAAGGGGAATAAAAAAGAAAAGTGAGACTTACTACTGTGCACAGTCGATGAGTTGATATTCGTTGGACCTTTCCCAGCAGGCCCGCACCCCATCGTCCTGCCAGAGGATCTTTGCATGGTCATAAAACTCCTGGAAAGAGAAAGAGGGATCTGGATCAACGGCATACCACAACTAGAAATAACTGCGAGTCAGACTCTCGTTTTAGGATCCCTGAAACAAAGATATGATATCACAAAAACAACTAAAGGAAAAGTGTGTGTAAGTGGGTAAAAAAAATCCATTATATACACACTCTTATCATTTATCTTTTGTATTCCTCTGCATTTTCCAGAGAGAGGAGAAGAGAAAAGAAGAGCCGTTACAGTGAAGACCCCCAGAACATGACGCAAAGTTCACTCCCCGTCTCTGGCCTCCAAAATTACAGATAAAAACAAAGTGCTATTTGGCACAATGTCACGTAGATTGCTGGAGAAAGATCAGGTTGCTTATTTCTACAGTGTTTGCTAATGCACAAGTTACTTGCCGACAATGTGGAGCGAGAAGAGGCAAATCTTCTGATGTGTTTAATCGATTACACGCAGTGGTGGGTAGTAACCTGTTACATACACTTAAGTTTTACTTTACTTACTTGAGTTACTACTGACTCACTTAATAAATAGTGCTTCTAAGAACAGTCGATTTGCAGAATACTCTTACTTACTCTTATTCGAGTACATCAGCAATAAAGTAGATGTATTTCTACTACGTTACATTGGACTACACACTTCTTGCTACTTTTACTAATAGATTTAGCTGTAAATATTTTTTTTATTCAGCTGAGCTCACACACAGCCCAGCGATTTTCAGACAACAAGGGATAAGTGACCACTATAGCACCGCAGATAACGGAGATTTGGGTTTTGGACACTGACGCACATACGATGCCGACTGCATTAAAGCCGTTCCTTAAAGAATTCTGGGTTCTGATGGGCACAGCTGCCGCACCATGTCCGCCAGAGCTGATCACGGCCAATCTAGACAATGCCTGATTGCACTAGATGTGCTGAGGTGTACTACGTACAAGAGACTCTCTGCTCTGCTCAGCGAGTGATGCAAAGTTTTTTTCTTGTTTTGTTTTACAGCATGTTTTGTCATTTCCTGGATATAGCACGTCAATGACAAACATGTATTTCACATGTTGAATTAATGAATGAATGATTTTATTTTCTACAAAACAAAAACATAATAAAAACAAACAATGTTTGTGTCCAGTGTCCAAAAAGGTGTAGGTAGAAATAAAACGTATATGTCCCTACCCCTTTCTTACATTTCTTTTAACTCATATTATTTCAAATTTATTTACAACTAATATACAACTATCCCCAGTCTATTTACCACCAAATAAATAAATGAGTAATAAAGCCAGTTTATTTACAGTCCAAGTACCACCCATTGTTACAAAATAAATATGCACTCCCCTGACACAACCTTTCCTCATCTATATACTGTATCTGCCAAAAATATCTTTAATATATAGTTTTTAAATTGATTTATACTTGTGCTTTGTTTCAACACATTATGTTAAAGACCCGTTAGAACATAATACATTGATGTATAAATGCATCTTTTGAAGTTAATCACTATTTGAGTAGTTTTTTGAGATGTTCTTACTTTTACCCTAGTAGTTATTTTTGTGAGTGCTTTTACTTGAGTACCCTTTTTTCTTTTTTTTCACTCAACCCACCACTGATTAATCGATGTACTCAAAATTTACCAGCAACTATTCTAATAATTAACTGAATAATCATTTCAGTCATTTTTTAAATCAAAAATGACAAAAAAATTCTGGTTCAAGTTTCTGAAATGTCAAAATGTAATCATTTTTTTATTCAACATGATAGTAGACTGAATATCTTTGGTACTGTTGGTCAGAAAAAAATAAAAATAAAACAGATACCTGAATACGTCACCTCGGGCTGTGGGTATTTAAAATGTTTTTCACTGTTTTCTGATGTTTGAAAGTGAAAAATGTCTACTGAGATGAGAAACAGACTGATGCAAGCAGATCAATAAATAAAAAAATATCCATTAGTTGCAGCTTTAAAAGGAAGAAAAAAAGAGTTTAACAGTGGCTTATGAATAAACTTCAGTAAATGCAGAAAACAACACTTGATTGGTGGATGATAATAAAAAAAATTGGTGCTGGTTGGTATATTTGGATGATATCTGTGTCCTTGGGTTAAGACTGTATTTCCCGTCCGAGTCTCGGTGGGTGAAAACATTTAAGGACAGATGGAGGGAGGCTGATACTCCCTGGCTTAGTCTGCAGTTGAAGGCCGGCTCGGAGAGGAGCAGCAGATGAGCGGGCTCTGACAGAGGCAGGAAACAGAACAGTTCACTGAGTTCATGAAGAAATGGAGAGCTTTGTACGGACACAAGGCTTGGCTGTCACTACACAGGGGCCTATCTCTTCACTACGATCTGCAGCGGGTCACATACAACGCGGCCAAGCACAAATAAGCCATTATGAGCCGTGGAGTTTTACTGTACACCCTTAAAAATACTGGATGTAGCTGAGAGTGGGCAGGTTTTACAGTGGCCACCACGTTACTGACAGATACATGGGACAAGGTCTGTTTAAAACTAACAGTGTTGTTTGTCAGTTGTTTTCTCTTAGCAGAAAACAAAACTGTCAAACATTAGTAATTACTGATTATCACTGACAGTTAAATATCTTCACTTGCACACAAAGAGCAACTGGGGAGTAAAAAACAAGGGGTGAACAGAGTTTGGTTTACAGACAGAGTAGTATAGTATACACGTTAAAGAAATGCAAATTGCTTATAAGTTCAACTATCAGCCAAATAATGTAGGTCTTATTTGTGTTCTCTTAGTCATCCTTTTCTCTTGTTTCCTTTTTCACTTGTGTGTTAAGTCCTACTCAGGGCTTGAAGCCAGAAAAAATCCTGTGCCTGAAATTTTTTTAGAGAGCCTTCTGTGCTACGGGGGTCCGGGGGCATGCCCCCCCGGAAGAGAATTTTGAACATTTGACGTCTAAATGAATTAATCTGGTGCACTTTGAGAGTATCAATCAAGTATCACATTAAGGAGCTAGAATAACAATTTCAAGGTTTTTAATAATGAAATATGAACAGTTCACCAAAAAAGGAAAATTTGGTCATCAGCTACTACAAAATGGTTGGGGCCGGGCAATTTTAGGCAATTCTGAGTAACAAGTGGCAGAAAACAACAAGAACACATTAAAATGTACGTTTTACATCAGTTGAAGCTTGAACTCACGACCTCTGACACCAAGGAGCATCTTCTATCTGACTTAGCTAATTTGCAAGTGACAACTCATTGGTGGCTTCACAAATTATCTCACTTATCTCTACCACACCGCCTCTTTCTCTTTCTGTATGTGTGAATTGCAATGCCCAACCTGTAGCCATTTCTTTCTCTCTCTCTCTCTCTCTCTCTCTCTCTCTCTCTCTGTCTCTCTGTCTCTGTGTGTGTGTGTGTGTGTGTGTTTTCATCTCTCTCGTGTCTAGACCAAACTGAACAAATATTTATAGACAGACAAGCAACATCATAATTAAACAGGCTTTTATTTTTTAAATTTATTTTATTTTGAAAATTGGCCGGATTCTCTCGTCTTTTCTGTGTCTGACTTCCTGTTTGGTATGATCCGCTCTATCCAGCTTGACAGAGGCGTTCACGGCTCGTGTGAAAAATAGACCAGATGCCGAACTGAAGCGCTGCAGTGCTCGAGCCTCCGCTGGCGCTCTGCTCTGCTCACCGGCCTGTGTGGACAGTCAGATAGGTTAACATGGACGCCAACTGAAAACTGCCTCCGCTGCTGGGCGCTGCGCTTCGGTTCTGCGTCTGGTGTATCCATGGCGTGACTGAATGAGAGACTGTGAAAACTTGAGGCCCGCCCTACTCTGCCTCTGATTGGCTAGAAGTCCTTGTTTACCTTGAGTAATGTGATACACCATTGGTAGTTGGAACTATCACTTTGCTTTGCTTTAAAACGACTGGTTAAATCACTGTTGCTACGGCAAGATGATAAAATACTCACAAGAAAAAAATATTCCTGCACCAGAATATCCCTGCACCGGAAATCCAGCACCGTGCCGGAGAACTTCAAGCCCTGCCTACTAGCTCAAACTACGAGGCCTCAAAGAGAATCATTCAGACAGAAAGTTCCCGGGGTAATTCACAGATTCAAAACAATTACCCTGAATGAATCAGACTTAAAGGTTCTGTATATGAGATTTTGAATATTAATGCGGCAGCAAACCACAATTTGCTATGTAAAGATAGAGAGTAACGGCGCCCTAAGCAAAGGATAAAGTCACACCCATTGTGTCGTAATCTAAGCTTCTCTGTTCTTTGTTTCGGTAGCCTGGCCGGCCACGTGTGCATTTGAGTCCCTCCCTCCATGTCTTGACCTAAGGTGGTGGAACGGCATCATCGCAGAAGCGTAGCACCTACCCCCTGGTTCCCCAAATCACTGTTACATTGAGAAAAAAAAATGATGGAAAATAGAGAAAAGTCACGTTTTCCAAAAGCCCAAAGTGACCTCTTGAAATTGTTTTATTTGTCTAATGAACGGCCTTAAGTCCAAACTATTTAAGGGTTGTTGGGTTTATTTTGCCTTTATTTGATAGGACAGATTAAGCGTGAAGGGGGGAGAGAGAGTGGGGATGACATGCAGCAAAGGGCTGTGGGTTGGAATCAAACCGTGGCCTCTGCAGCAAGGACACAGCCTTTGTACGTGGAGTGCCCGCTCTAGCAGGTGAACTAGTGGGCGCCCTCAAACTATTTAAGTTAAAAGTCCACAAGGCAAGTAGAGACAGCAAGTGAGAAGCTGGAAGTGAGGCTGCACCCGATTCAGAATTATGTCAGTCAAATCAGATTTGGCTGTTCAATATGAATATTTGACTATTAATTATTTTATTTCCATATAGATTTTGAGAGTTTGAATGGAGTTCAGCAGGACGTTCAGTGTGACATTCACGTAATGTAGTTGACCAGCTAACTACGCTAACAACGATCGGAAACGTGCAACATTTTTTTGACACTAGAGATCTAACAAAAGCCAGAGACTGGGTCGTATTAAGTATCTGTGAGCTGTAAATACAGAACTTTAAAGCACAAGATAACATTATCTCTGTGCCTGAGCAGACAAAATCTCAGCAGGCAGCTGCATCCGTGCGTGCAGCTGCCTGTATCGTAGAGCAGCGTCAAAGTGAGAAGCACTCACTCTGCAGCTAAATCTGGGGACCGAAATGTGCCCAAGAGTATGCTGCACACTGACAGGAAAAATTAAAAAACAAAAAACACGACTGCTAAACTTGAAGGAATCTCAGTCGACTGAGGGCTCTCCGAATGATGATATGAACCTCCGACTTTCAGCAAGCAATAAATGTCTGCCATTTCTGCTAAATGATTAATCAAAATCAACAGACAGACAGTAGGTAGTGAAGTGTCAGAGGTCAGCAAGGTCAACTTCAGAGTTTCACTCTCTGTTTTTGCTTTCATAAAGTTAATATATGGGGCACATGTACAATTCAGAGTTTGACAGAAAAAGGAAACGGCTATTTCATGATGCCTCTCATTGTGGCTGTGCAGCTCTGTGAAGAGTTTAAGAATAGGAATGGCTGTGACCTGAGTGAAGACCTACTTTGAGATCCTGTGTGAAAACAGACAGCACTCTAAAGACATGCTGCAGAATTATATCATACATTTTGAATTAAACTGCATTCATACAAGGCTGAGAAAAATGTATTCTCCTTAATCTACCAGGTGACAGGCATATTGTGAGATTTCAAACATTTTTGGGGCAAACTTCACTCTTTTTAAATCCTTTAGATGTATGAAATGCATTCAAAATGACATTCAAGCCGATGCTACATGATGAAGAGGGTTCAGGGAGTTGCTCTGTTTATACAACATCTACTTCATGTCTGTCTGTTCATGTCTGTTGTTGCTCTTAATGAGGTCTCTCCCCTTTTTTTCCTGTTGAAAAGTTATTTGTGGAGTTTCTCCTGCTCCAAACAACAGATTTTAAAGAACAGAGGGTGTCATATGTTGTAAAAATTGTAAAGCCCTGTAAGGCAAATTTCTGATTTTGAGCTATTTACAGTAAATAAAATTGCCTTGTCATTGTGCTGTGCTGGGAGGCTCAGGAGAGGTGGGCATGGCAGCGATCACTCTGAGCAAATAACCTCGGTGACTTTATTTATGTTGCATAAAAGGCGTGATCCTTTTTATTATTTTAGGAGATTTTTTTGGTGAATAATAACAACAAGGATTACTGATTAGAAACGAAGCTCCGACGGAAATCAAGACTGATTCAGTCCAGGCCCTGTGCTTATTTTCTCTCCCTCTCTTCCTCCTCTGCTGAAGGCAGAGTCAACCAGTCCAACTGGTTTCCAGTAGGCCCTAAGGCCAGGAGAGGGGGAGCGGGCTAAGAGGAGGAGGAGGAGGAGGAGGGTGGAGGAGTTGAAGGAGAGGCTGAGCCTATAAAATAGTTTTCTACTGTATTCTCTTTTCCAAACAACCAACCATTCACTTCAACGGGCATGATCGAAAGCCGAACCCTTGCTTCTGCTTCTGGGAGCTGATGCTTCAATAAACGCAGCTATCATTAGGCTCAAATCACGATTTAAAACAACAACTGTAACACGCCTGTAACCTTCCACACACCCTTCATGAAAAACTGAGCATCAGATCAAAGTGTGAGTGCTGGTTTTTTCCTTCTTCAGTGGAAGTCTGGTGACTGACTGACAGCCTGAGGGAAGGGTCAGCTCGAGATAGGCCCGCATAATAAATTTGCCATGAAGTAACAGAGACAATATCAGGAGACTTCCTTTTGCTTACACACAAATACACTCACTCTTCACTGGAAACTCAGCTTCTAAAAACACTGAACACTGAAGCTATAGTGCTGGAAAAACACAGGGAGGACACGATGTTCTTCTTCCTCTATAGGTAACAATTAGACAACAGCTGAAACGCTATTTAACAAATAGACATTAATGTTCTAATTTTGTAGATTAAATTCAGATGAACCATGTTTTGTACTTACTTACGTTTCACTCCTTAAATTTGTGAAACATTTGAACTTAAATGCGTGCTTCTTTTTGACCATTATACCTAATCAACCAATTTTTTTGTTTGTTGTTGTTGTTAACAGTATTTGAATTTCCACGGTCTTAAATTGTAATTATACTTTGGCGACACGTGAGAAATGTCAGATCAATAAAGCTTACTGAATTGAAATCTAAATGTAGTTGATTTTAAACACATTTCCCAGTAAATCAAACAAGCTATCTTTGATTGAAAACCCTTTAATCTTGATTAAGATTTATAATAAATCAACAGTGTTTGATTTATTGGGGTTTTGGACTGCTGGATATGACCATTTATTGACATATCAATCAAAAATGGCATTCTATTTTTTCATTATTAATTAATCTGCTGATTATTGTATTGATTTTTTGGTTAATCAAATTGTGCTTAAGCACAATATGGTGTATTTAAATTCTTATTTTGTGCGACCAGCAGTCCAAAATCCCCAAATATAAAGTTTCCTGATAATACAAAGTGAAGAAAAGGAGCAAATCTTCACATTTAAAAAGCTAGAAACCTTGAAAATAGCTTAAATGTTTTATAAATCATCAAAACTGCCCACATTTTTGTTGTTTTTTTGGCGATCAAAGCAATTATTTAAATGTTTGTTTCATCCCAGTTGGTTGTGGTCTTATTACCATGTTTGACTGTGCTGGGAATCTCAGAGACGCGGCCGGGCGCAGGCTGCAGCTCAGGGGGAATCCCTCTGAGTCTCTGTGTTTCTGGAGGACAGGTCCCTCTGGACACATTTAGGGTTATTACAGACAATCAGTGTTAATAGGTGGTGTGGATCTCTCAGGTGAGAGGCTCATTCAATTGACGGCCTCCCAAGCGGAAGCACACCTGCTAATTACTGAATCACTGCGCAAACACACTGGGCGAGCTCATAAAGGCTGCCGTGGGAGGTTCCTCTCTCAGCCTACAACACACCTTGTCAGGGACCTGCTAGGCAGGCTGGCATTGATACTCGGTGACATTTAATGAGATCTATAATAAGAGGTTGTGACCAATTTCACAACAAAACATCTATAAATAAACATGCATAAAAACTAAAGCTGGTCTGTTTACTGTAAGACATTCAATGATTATTGTTAGTACTAACGTTAGTATACCATTATTTTCATTACCTATTAATCTATTGATTATGTAATGAATAGATCATATGGTCTACTCAATGTAAAAAAAAATAATGCAAATGAAAATGCACATCACAATTTCCCAGAGCCCAGGTTTGCATATTTAAACGTATTTTTTTTGTCCAACCGACAGCCCAAAAACCAAAAATGGAACCAGAGAAATTTTGCCATTGTTATATAAAAAAACAATACTTGTACTAATAATTATTAGTAAAAAATGGGACTTGCAGCTGACAGAGGGAAACAAACCAGTGCAGAAGTAAAACAGTTAATAGATCCCGAGAAAGTAAAGGTGCAACTTACCGAAGGAAACTCAAAATCCTTCTGGTTTGCTTGGTTCAGGACATAATCGATTCGGCATTGGTTTGCAGGACAGGCTAACTGGCATGGCGGTGTGAGCGTAGTCATGGCGGACACAATCGTCTGGATGGAGAGAACACAAGTAAGCACAATTTGTTAGAAAAACCTTAAAAGACACCAGGATTAATATTCAACCCTTTCTTCACTTGCACTGTCTAACATGGTTACAGAAAAGTTTGTTGCTTTACATTATCACTATGAAGGAAATGCCGATTGCATCCTGTAATAGCTATAGAATACTGACATCATCAGCGTCTAGATTGGTTCCCTATGAACCTCACTTTCACTGTGCAATTCTGTTTGTCACCGGGTATGAACTCCAAGGAAAATTAAGGCTCCATTTAGGATAGCGCTTTTGTTTTCCGCACTAGCTATCGGCCAATATCCCCGGTTATCAAAGATAAACAGTGTAAGTTCAGAGCTTCATTTCTTCTACATGCTCATTTCGAAGGCAACATGTTGCGTGAAGTTCATTACTCAATATCTGTTGTAGTGTTGCACGGTATACCGGTACTAAAATAGTACCGCGGTACTAGAGTATTCCAAACGGTACTATACTGCATTTGGAAAATACCGGTACTTTGAAATTGATTCAATTCATTAATTTAGTTAATTTATTTTACTCATTTATGCACATAAACGTCTTTCTTGTTCCTATTGGAGCACAGATTGCACAAGTGGTGTGTATGACAACACCTGTATCAACATCCGCAGCTGGTGCACGTGAAAAGAGACAAGAGAAAGTCTGCCTCGCAAAGGGAGACGACACGAGACAACACAAACTTGGTGGAACATTTGAGTAACCAAACCGTGACGTCCGTACCGAGGTACTTACCGAACCATAATTTTTTTGGTACCGTTACACCCCTACTATTTATTGTTCTAAAGGTTTGTATCCAAAAGCACTTTTCCTTAGGAAAAGTACTGAAGACTATCGAAAAGTATCGAAATTCATATTGGTATTGGTACCGAAACAAAGATTTTGGTATCGTGACAACACTAATCTGTTGTCACGTAAAGTTATTTCATTGCCTAACAGCATGAGTAATAACTGATTATGAGACAAACAAACTTAATTATGAACTCCAGATTTTCCCCTTTTTCTTTTGATGCTCAGTTTTGTTTCTTATTTGTCAAGCCCCCCAAAAAAGTAAATCTCTCTCGACTGCTCCCAGTACAGTAGGGAAAGTGCTCTAAAATGTTTAAAATGTGTCAAAAGATCTTACCTCTATAGCTTCTTTAATGTTGTTTTTAATATCGTGTATTTTCTGTTTTTTCTCCCTGTGAAGAACAAAGAATGGTTTGTGTTATTTATTTGCACACAAAAACAAAAAATTCCAAGAATAAAGCATCATCTCCTGGAGTCAAGACAGTGAATGCAGTCAATCCTTTTGCTTAAATGCTAATAAAACTGTGATTATTGTCATTTCCTAAATATAGCTCAATCAGGAAGTGGTATGTCACCTTTAAATCCGAATATGGATAACGTAGCTATACAGGCAAAACGTAGTGTTATCTAAAATATTAAAGAAATAGCCTTAAAAAAACAGAGATTAAAACATTCTCCTGTGTTAATGTAAGTTTTGGTCGGAATTTTCAGGATAGCATAAACCTCTCTCTGTCAGCCTGGAGGTGAAATATATCAGACATCAGTATTATGGCTGCTCCAGATGCAAAGATACCTTTATTTTGCTGACCAAGTGCAACCCCTGAATTTTGTGTACTTGCTGATCCCAAATGAGAGCAGCAGAACGTGTCTTCATTTTGGCAACGACATTTATTAAACAGAAAACAGCAGAGTGGGGTTGTGGAGGACAACACGGACTGTTACAGTATATTTTAAGGTGTTTTAAAGTCCAATATTAACTAGCACCTGCCATGAGCACATAGCTGAATCCAAAGTATTAACAAATCCAGTGATATGCTCCACATTTTGTCCGTTTATTGTTCAAAAGACAAACACACCAAGCATGGCACTGGGGTTTATGCAATCTGTGGGCTTCACTGATACCAGTAGTAAAGGTCTAACGTCACACAGGTCTTTCAGAAAGCAGACAAAAGACACGTTTGACAATTGAAAGTCAGACTTGATACTGAAATTCCCCAAACGAGACAAACTTAGAGCTGCTTACACAATCAGGTACCTGCATGGTGTGACTTCCTCTGAATGACCCATGGAAAAATATCTCAGTGTCTCAGACCAACATGTGCATGTGTGTTGCGTTCGAGTGCACTGTGTCGTATATTTTGTCGACATTACAGCAGCCTGTGATACTCAACAGAGCATGGATGAATGTGTTCTGTTTTAAGGGACTTTGGTGAAAAAGTGACACCATCAGCGTCGCTGCGTGCTGTAATCGAAACTTAACGCTGACTGAGGGTATGGTGGAGGACAACACAACAAAGTTTCAGCCTTGAATGTGTATTTATGTTTCCATGGGGCGATTCTCAGTCTGCTAAAGAACATTTTTAATTGTCTATGATCATTGGATGATACTTGCAAATAAGAATATCTAAATATTTAAAACCTAATACCTCAAGAATGATCACATATAAGGGTTTCTGGGATGATGATTGGTGCTTTCAGAAGACAGTAAGATAAGATGACCAAAAAGTTACTGATATTCAATCATTTCACTGAGCTTAAATGTCATATGTTTACAAAATATACCTGAATAAACCCACACATTTAATATTTTTTGTCAGAGATTCAGAGCATTCTGGTGATGTGCTCATTGCAACAATTTCCCAGGTTGGAGAAGATTTTTAGAGGCAGCATTAAGAACAGGAACGTCATAATTCTGCGCCAAAGCCGGATAACTTCAATATCAACACAGCTGGGCAGGTCGTTGTACATCCACTTACAGAAATAGCAACTTTTGTGTCTATATATTTCTTCGACACGAGATGAAAACGTCTCACAGGCTTGTGATCAGTTAAGGAAAACTCAAACAGAGTAGCTTGCAATCCTCAAGCAAAAATGGCCGACATGAACATAATGTGAAACTGAATACTAAGGTGAAACAAAAAGACAATTCAGTCTGATTATTGAGATCAAAAATGGTATCACTTGACTTACGCTGCCCTTTGTATTTTAAAAAAGCCAAATCCCTTCAGATATTTGGTGCAGGATTGTGACACTTGACAGTAGATTTATTCATTACTCTACCGCAGCTGTTGACAACTGATTTTACAAAAATGATTGGTTGATTAATCTATACGTAGACGGACAGCAAATCAAATGGCAATAACTCTGAAAAATGACTGAAGTAATCGCCAAAAATTCCCAGGTTCGTAAAAGAAGGGCTTATGTCAGCTACCCGAATGATCCTCAGATTTTAGAACTGTACGTCCTCTCAGATCTTGAAAAATGAATCAAATCTATGTTAGAAATGGTGACATAAGAACTGATATTAGCTAGAGTCAGTGATGAAGGTGAATTTTAAGAAGTCAAGGGAACACTTTTTGCTCCTATTAAAGCTGGGACACTGATGATCTGATTGTATTGTTCTAATTGCTAAATATGTATTTTGGTTGTTCTAAATATGTGCATTTTCATAGGTCTTTTGATTCTGTATAAAGGTATTAATATGTGTGTGTATATTTTAATAAATAGAAACGTTAATTACATTATTGTCCCCTGGTTTTCTTAAGGTTTTTTTGTTTGTTTTTTAATGATAGTAAATTGAATATCTTTGGGTTTTAGACTGCTTGTCAGACAAATGCAGACATAAGAGGACATCTCCTCAGGCTCTAGGAAATTGTCACAGACTTTTTTTTGACATTCTATAAACCATAATTAATCGGAAAAGAAGCAGCAGATTTACCAATAATTAAAATAATCATTATCTATTTTACAATATATATTATTGCTCACGATAAATAGAGAATTTTTTTATGTTTATTAGTGCTGAATCAACTGCCAAGTTTTTAAACTCAAGGGAACCAGTGATCCCACTTTAAAATTTTCGGTTACCAAACAAGAGAACTTAAAGGAAACATCATTAATCTGATCGTTTCCTCAAAAGAAAGGAGATCTTTGAACTTTTTAAGGGTGGCTTTAGGGAGCTTCCCTCAGCTCCTTGTTCCTTAATTTCACTCAGAGTGGTCGCAGTACGACAGCGAGAGACAGACTACATTCCTCACATAAAGGACCTCCACAAACAACCCTCACCCTCATCCCTCCTACATTACTATGTCATTCCCTATCTTCTCCTCCTGTCCTCATCCTCCTCATCCTCCCAGCACATTGTGCCGTCTGGCACTGCCCTGCACTCAGCGGGGAAACCCAGCAAGGTGAACTCCTCCGGGTCCAGAAAGAGCGACAAACCCCCCGGAGCTAAACAGGACCAGGGGAGTTACAGCCGACTGTGGTTTGTCATTACACATGAGCGTCTGGGTCTGTGAGGAGCATCTGTTCGACATGACCCAGAAATAAGCACATGATGATGCTCCTACCCCCAAAACCCCTTTCTAGGAAACAGATGATTAAGAATAGAAAAATGTGACTATTGTTTCCATTGCATCAATTTGGGAATTGAGTTTTAGGAAATTCACAAGACAGGGTGGCCTGAAACCACCCAGGGGCAATGTTTCCATGAAAACCTGAAACAGATAAAGCATTCTTCTGGCGCTACGCAACCTTTGAGTATTTACTCCAAAACATTACAATAATATGCCCAAAACATTTGACTTCATTAGGGATAGTTTTTTAAAAACAATGACAAGAGTCTATCCCTTCATGCCAGAAGAAATGGGGAAAATATTTGTTTACTAGCCAGGCGATCAGTTGCAGTCAATTAAAATCCTTTAGTGCGTAGAAAGTTATCCCAAGTTTCCCTTCTAATAATCAGCACAATGATTCATCAATGTCTCGTTACATAATAAGAAGAAAAGCCTGCTTTTCTTTACTCTTTATAGGATTTATAGCTGGAATATGTACTACGTTACATAATCAATATTTTAATTTTCAAGCTACAAGAATAGTGAGATTTGATATACTTGGTTATTGCTAGTCTGATGGTTAGTACTAGAGCTAGCTGTATGCATTTGTTGCTAAGGATACGTTTAAGGAGACTTATTATGGTTTTTCATATTTTGTGTCTTATATATAGTGTTACAACGAAGGATGTTTATATTAAACGTAGCCAAATAATGAGGTAAATATATGTAAAGTAATCCCTGAGCAAAAATGTAAGGTTTCCCATAGCGCTGAACACTGTTACTAACAGTTGTTTCTACTCATCTGCTCCAGGCACGCTGCTACAAGTGCTTACATTACGTAGCCTACACTGCTACATGTAGCTACATGCTAACATCAGAAAAACGTAATCTTGGTTGCTGATGTTAATTTCTCTCCAATTTCAGATCAAACTTCTGCTGGAACATGTGCGGTTGTGTTTAGAAGCTTTTATTGGTGATTTTTCACAGTAGGAAGTGCTGAAAATCTCTGTTACAGTCATTTCCAGGCTGCAATGAAGGTCCAGAAACACTGAAATATGCAAGACCCAGAAACACTGACCAATCAGAGCAGACTGGGCTTTTTGGGAGGGGCGCTAAAACAGAGCATTTCAGACAGAAACCCAAAATATAAGTATGAACCCCAAAAAAATAGCGCAATAGGTCCTCTTTAAATGTTAAAGATAGTATCAAGATTAGGATACATTATTGTCTCAAATTTGATTATTGTAATATTGTTATTTCCATTATTCATTAATCTGCTCATTATTTTCATAATTTATTAATTAATCATTTACTCTATGAAAATGTCTGAAAAAAGTGAATTAAAGGTCATCGTAAGTTCATCAAATTTCTTGTTTTGTCTTTGAAAACTGTCCAAAACCCACACATTGAAAACAGAAAATCTTTCCATAAGAAAAGCTGAAACCAGAAAATATTCGAAATTTTTGTTTGAGAAATGACTCAATTCATTCACCAATTATCAAAATAGTTGCCAATATTATTACTATTATACTATTATTATTGTTGTTATTAATTATTACTTTTCTATCCATTGACTAACTGACTAATTGTTTCAGCTCCAGTGTACTATAGCTTAAATAATGATTTGTAACAGTATCATGTCATACTGTTTGTTGTCGCTGTGTCTTGTGAATGCACCAGTCTTCCTCAAAACATCATCAAGGTATTTGGTCAACAAATATTTTCGTATCTGTTCATGCCAGTATCACCTGATCGCTCCTGATTATCAGTTTCTTACCTACATTCTGTAAATAAAACCACCCAAACTGACTGTAATGGATTAGTGATGCAATGTGCTGTATGTGTGCGTGATTAACAACATGTATAAAAAGTAAAATATAGAAGGAAACCAACACTTACTCTGCATTGAAGCCATTAACGTGCAATATTCGCATCTGTTTGACTATCGTGCTTTTCCCAGATTCACCGGCCCCTGAAAGCAGAAAGAGGACAGAAAGATAAATGTTTGTTAAAAGCCAAACAAAACTGCGTCTGAGACATCCAGAGTGGGGATCCATCTGAAACCAGTGGATCCATCTGAAACCAGTGGATGATGACCGAAAGCTTGTGTTACTGGATACTGGATCTGTGAGGGCTTAGGCATTTTGGTGTCTTAGTTAGTGGAAGTTACTCTTCACATTAAGATTGTACTTGATAATCTTTGCATTGTTAAAGATTAAAGCAATAGTTCCCAACCTTTCTAGCTTGTGAGCCCTTACAAAAAAGTGTCTAGTTGGGGCCCCTTGTCATGTTTTACATGTCAATTATCCATTATTTCACAAAGTAGCAAAGACAGGAGAAAATTACAAAACATTAATACAAAAAATGAAAACTACCTCAACCAGCGAGAGCAGAACAATGCTACTTATGCATTGTTGCATCTACTAATGTGATAGTTAATATGTGTAAATATATCTGTAAAATGGCCACTTTTAATACTATAAAGAAGAATTTTGCTGCTGGAAAGATGACCCTGTCATAAAACTGGGCTTTCTACGCAGCAGAAAGACACAAATACTTTTGAAATTGGTGTTAAATGACCAGAGAAAACAGAGGAAAAAGGGCTGTGGCATTTGCTTTTGCTCAAGAGACAGAAAACCTACAACGACCAGAATGCACTGCACTGCAGCAGACCAATTAACACTCCCACTGGTGGGTAACATAATACTAGCTTGTTTTGTTTTTTTGGACACAGAAACAATATGGCGGCCAGATGGTAAGAAACAATCTGGAACTACAGTTACACAGTGAGCTAAAATATATTTCGGGAAATATCTGAGCCACAAAATAGGAAGCGCAGTCACAGAATCTTGGTTCATATTTGATCAGCACTGCTTAGTTTTAACATTTGATCTCAGTTTTTTTTTAAGTCTCCGTTTTCAGAATACAGGAAACAGTATGGCGCCAACTTCCATTCACAATTTCTCATATTACAGCCAAACAGTGCACTAAAATATGTTCCTGAAGATATTTAGGGTGAGGAATAGGTGATACAGTAACAGAATCTTGGTTTATATTTGATCACCATTGCCTAGTTTTACCATTTAATCTGAGTTTGAGAGAGAAACAGAGAAGTGGGTCTCTCTCAATCCGCTTCTATACTCCTCATGTCTGTAAAGGCAGGCATATGAAAAGAGAAGGTACAAGCGGTAGTTCGAGCAACAGCCCTAGAGCCAGAGAAACTCTGCCACATGGCACCAAACGTGGTTTTCAGCTGGGATATCAGCAGGATGATCTGGGCGCAGGTAAGACCCACATACTACCCACATTGTTATGATACAAAGCTGGTTGAAAATTGGCAAAGTATCCCTTTAAGTGCATTTTACTGATAATACATCAGTACCTTCACTTATAGGTAGGAGGCTGAATGTAGAACATTGACGTATACACTGTTGTATCGGCACTCTAACTGAAGTAAAGGATCTGCTTCCAGATGTGCGAGGGGCTCTCAGCATCAGGGATAAGGACAAGAAGAATCGATCAAGCTGGTAGACGAGATCAAGTGTTGTTTTGTCTTTGAGCAAAAGGCAATGTCATTCTCCATAATTCTGGCATGATAAATGGTCACACATGTTCACAGTTGAAAAGAGAAAAGGTCCTATATGTGTCCTTGCAATCTGAAAATTAAAGAAGCCAGGCCATATCGTCTCCTAACCTGAACACAAGGAGCTAGGCTACAGGCCTGCGATTCAGAGCCTGAGTGTGAGTGTACAAATCTAGGATCAATTTCAGATTAGAATGAACAGGACAGGTCTTTCAAGGGAAGCTAGTAATCCCTAATAGTAATCCTAATTTGCTCTCTCTCCGTAGTACTCCGAGAGGTTTAGCAGAATACTAGTGCTGGCCTTGAAGTTCAGACTGTATCATGACATGGAGGCCTGGATGATGAAGCCAGAAATAGCTTCATCAAATTAAAAATAGTGGTAGTTTTTAATAAGAATATCCATTTCCGGACTAGCTGGTGTGGAGAGGATTACGCAAAGGTGAAGTTTGAAACATAGCATCAAACATAGAGAGTCTATAGGCCTGAATAACTCAAGGTGAATGCACACTGCACACACACAAACACACATTTGCCGTGTGCTGCCCTGGTAAAAAACGCCTATTGGTGGCCTCCCAGCCTCTGCATGCTGCCTTCACACAAATGCTGTCTGTCCGTCCAGCGTCTCTCACATGTTCTGTAATCATGCTCCATAATGACCCATGAATGCAGCAGACAGGCCTGCTTTTCAAAATGTCCAGTGCCAAGAAGACACTGTGACATCATATCATTGCATCATGTATTGATGCTTCACCAAGACATTTTTCATGCCTACAATCTGAATCAATAGTGGTTATATTTAAATAAACAGGTGAAATGCTTTTGTGTTGTTTTATGGGTGCAACAATTCAGTAGAAATGGGCCTAAAGTGGATACACACACACATTAATGAATGATGAATTTGACCAAACCTACCTAATAGTAGTAGCCGGTGAGTCGCCCGGTATATCTGTTTGTCTTTTTGGAGCTGCTTCTCTATCTTTTTGTTGGCTTCCCTCTGTGCCTTCTCCTCATTTCGTTGGTCTTCGGTCTTACTATTGCCAAGACAGCCCATCTTCCCAAAAACCCAGTGTTAGGTTCAGGGGGGAGGCAGGGTGGGTGGGTGGTTGGTTGGGTGGGTAGGTGGGTGCAGGGAGGGAGGAAGGAGGGAGGGTGTTGATCAGAAGGAAAAAAAATCAATCAATCCTAAATTCCTAGACTGGCCCAACAGAGGAACACCTGGCTCAAAATGGGTGACATTTATGTTGCCAGATGAGACAAGATGTAAACCTGTTAAGGTAGTAAGTAGACGGTGGCCTCCACCAGGGCTTTGGCACGATATGTATGGATGGATGTGGCTATTTACTGGCGATTTATCACCTAGAGATCACTCAAAAAAACACAAGAGCAGAGCAACGATGCCGCCCTCTCAGACGATTCTTGTGTTTTTCACTGTAAATCCGCAATGAAGTCATCAACATTGATATGAGAGAGTGAAATCCCCAGCCTTGCAATGTACATGAATGAACGACGGTGCTCCTGTCTCCTTACAGATGCTTTAAATATAAAGGCTGGTGTGTGTGTTTTCAGTGTATTAGGTTTAATTTTCTTAGCAAATGTCTCCTCCGGAACCCATCTTCGGCAGATATCTCACACTGCCATTCATTTCCACTCACAACCCCTATTTTTCGACCTTTTTCTTCCAATATATATTTAAGGTTATTATCTATCAGGGTAGTTTGCAATCCACCTCACCAAAGCACATCAGAGGGCGGATGAGGAAAAATAAAAATAAAAAATAAATATTTCCTCTTAAAATGACGGCATGTGAATCATCAGGCTACACCGGGGCTTCTTTCTCTATCACAACCGTCTCTCAAATCCGTCACATTATATACACCGTTTTATTTTGGGGAGGGGAGGTGGGCTGTCGTCGTTGATGTTAGCAACCTTATCAATAATATCCTGTTTTTAGCCGATGTCAAAATTATTTCCTCTCGCCGTCAACAGATGCTGGTGCTTGCTTTTTGTCGGAGGGTTTGACCAGACCCAAAAAAGAGGCCCCTTCTCCGTCCTTTTTCTCTCTGTAACGTTAATTTGTATTTCTCCTCACATCGGAAAAGCTTCTCCGCGCGAGCAAAGGCGGATTTTGGCAGTTGGGATGTCCTTGAATATAACGCGATATCCAGGTGATAGTCGTTGGAAAATCCTCCGTTATTTCCCCGTTTGGCGCAGGTACAGCCCGCTGTCAAGTCTCTTCTCAGCTTTTTGTATTCCCTTTGAATCCGTATGGTAGATTATGGTTACATGTGCATGATACATGAACATACCGCGGTGTTTTCAATCACTGGTCCGACGGCGACACGTTTGTTCGTTACCGCCGACAGGCCGCGTCTGCTCCGGTGAACCGGTCGGGGAAATGAGAGTCGTTTTCTTTGCGGCGTTACTCTGAATTATTTTTGCCCCCTTTTTTCTCTGAGAATTGTACATTGAGATAGATAGCGTTGAAGAGGTGGGGTGGGGCAAACGGCTCTCACGGAACCCTGGGAACGAAGAACGGTGGTCAAGCTCCGCGTGACGAGAATTGCAACTTCCGGTTGCGGCTTTCACAATAAAGCCCCTCGTGACAGCGTCATGCTCAATGTACAAAATTGTGTTTAAAATTAATAAAAAATATAAAATAAAATCCTACTTTTAATACAATAGTTAGGACTAACAAGTGTGACATCTATCAAGAAAAACGCACTTACACACACATTCAGTGTCCACTTTATTAGGTACACCTATACAGTGTAATGCAATCCAGTACGATTGTTCTGCCATAAGGTCTACTTTGATTATTCTATAGATGTTTATTATGTATGTTTTGCCTCATTTTTTCTACTTCCCACATGAAGGGGGCAGAATATATGAGAAACATCTCCTAAATCTGGCAATGTCAATAATAACTGAACATATAAAAAAAAAACTTTACAAAGGTAGAATTTATGGCAGAGTTGCTGTATTGAGTTGCATGAGATTGCACCTAATAAAGTGGCCACCAAGTTTAATTTATAATTGATCATTTATTCTATATCAGCCCCTGTACGCATTACTGCATGTAGGCCAACTGGTTTAGGCTTGACACCTCTCACAACAAAATAAAAATACAAATAAATAAATAAGTAAAATAAAATAAAACAAAACAGTGTCTAGTTGGGATCCGCAGTCATGTTTCAGATGTTGTCAGTTCCACCAGAAAAACATTTTCCCTTGAAAGTGTTCAGATGGGTTCATTTTAAAAACTGTTCATATTATCCAGCATTTCACGAAAATAAAATAGAATAAAAGAGTAAAGAAAATGTCATGTATTTACAGATTTAAATGACATCACAAGAAATTTAGAAGGGAACCCAACTACACACCATTTTTGTTGTTTTGGGTTTTGTTTTGTTTTGTTTTGTTTTGTTTTTCTTTTGCTAAGAAGTCACAAGACAAAAAAGTTGGGAACTACTGTTGTTTTTTTGGCAGTATATTGCATTTTACATTTTTATCAAATGTTTTCATGTAACATCCAATCTAAAAAGCAACTAGTAGGTAACTACCACTCTCAGTACAAATACTGACAGTATTTATATTTGTAAAATAAAAAAATGTAATAGAGCAAGTTGAAAGTAGCATAAAATGGAAATTGTCAAATAGCATGTAAGTACCCCAAACCTGCTCTTAAGGAAGAGAACTTGAGTAATTGTACTTTGTTGCTTTTCATACTGCTTCCTGAATAATAATACAGTGGAGGATTCCTCAAAACAAGATCTTTATTGTATGGGTAACTTGTGCCCCATCACTAAATTTCATTATAGCCTGATAACATTTTACTCTAAACATTTCTTGTAGCCGAAGCTATCAATAAATTAGCATTTCAGAATAAATACAATGTAGCATGTGTCATTTAACAAAAAAAAACAGTACATTACAACACAATAAGTATACCTGCACATACAAAAATTGAAAATAAGTTACTGATCAATAATGTATACAAACCATCAATTTTTGCAATTTTTTTTTAAAACCACATTAAACCCTGATAATGTAACATGCATTTTAAAAAAGGAACAGACAAACCCACAAACATTAAGCTACCCACTTACCTTTCATCATCAAGGCGGAAGACATATCTTGCTTTTAATTTGAAGTCAGAATTCGAGTACTTCCTGTTTCCTCCTTGCTGCCGCTTGACGCATCTGGAATGAAGCAGGCTCGGATCACATGATTGCCCGGAGCGTCATGAAGCAGAGATACAGAAGGGGAGAGGCGCCCTCTTTGAAGCAAAATGATTATCAACCTATACACCCAAAGGTATCAATCAATAACTCTGAAAACCTTTAAATTAAGATATAAAAATAGTCAATGCCACAATATACAGTTAGTAGCAATAATAAAAATATATATGATGCCAAAAAGTGAAGGATAGACTCTAAACAGAGAAAGAGTTGGTCTAGAAAATGTACAAAAATAATGCAGGCTTTTAAAAAAATTATTTATTACTTTCAAATATCTTAGAGAACATTTAAAAACAACGTTATCAGGTGTGTTTATTATTTCTGTGACCAGTGTTGGGGATCTAATCTGAATTTTGAATCCCTAATTAAATCAAATTGTCTCCAGCTTTCAACATTTTCTAACACAAGTTAAAAATAACTAGAACATATTTGGGATCCAGACTCCTCTGACAGTATCTCTGGTTGGATAGTGATAAACCCTGATGTCTGAGTCCTACTTATCTTTGACACTTTACATATTTGGGTTGAAAAGACTGGAGAGTTTCCATGAACTCCTCTTAACCTCCATGGCAAGACTTTTATCCAGAGCAGTTGCAACATTATTTAAATTGATGGATACACTTATAGAAATATTTAGACTGAGATGTTCCCATCAGCTTAACTCACCTAATGGTGATCTGAATTTTTAAACGGCTCCCTGTATTTTCTTTTCCTCTTTAGCTCTCACATGCATTCAAACACTGTGCATCAGAAATCACACACCCACAGACACACATACTGTATGAAGCACACACACGCACACACACACACACACACACACACACACACACACCACCCTCTACAAATACGTCAAAAGGCAAGGGAAAGAAGCTCAGGGCAAAACACATAAAGGTCATCAATGACAACTAAATGCTACTGTGGCTCTCTAATGAACCCCAACAGACAGCTGAGGAGGAATGACTTCAAGGTAATCTTATCCTGTTTCTACTGTGTTTCTATTTAACAAACTTTGTTTACACACACCAGGAAGTTAGTCTTCTTGTCTAAAAGCCACACTATCTGGTAAATACCCAAACAGTGTCACGGGTACACCTGTGGACATTGACCCTTTGTGCACATGCTTCCTAACTCCCCCTCTTCTAAAAGAGGGCTGATAGTGGAAAACACGCCTATTAACCACAGCAACAAATAAACATTTGAATATATGTGGCATCATGTCTGTGTGAGTAAGAGACGAGAATTAGACACAGGTTTTCACGTACAAGGAATTTGCCTGCATAACAGTTACAATAATCCTAGAAAGAGAAAAGAGAAAACAGGTGCTGCAAAGGTCAAGAATCATAAATATAAAATGGGAATTTACAATGAAAAAAAAGTTTTAAAATGAAAACAGCTGTAAAGTGTTTAAAACCAAGATGATTTAAGTGCACAGTTGTTCTCAGTATGAAGAGTTTTCAGTGTCCTGTATTGTTATCATCATCCTGTGCTTCATATTGTAATACTTAGTCAGGTACAGCAGTACAGTGTCTGCTGTAAACATCATATGATATTAAATAATTAACTGCAGTACACACTGAGGGAGAAGTAAGGGACATGTAAAGCAAAAGCACATCTGCTAGTTAACAAAAAATATCTTTACGCTCAGTTTGTGGATCTCCATCCAAATAAACTTTTCTGGAAAAAAAAATCTATCCAGTGTTTATGTATTTGGTTTTCTTTCATGGTAAACCTGTGACTTAAACTGTGACGTGTCAAAAATCTCTCCAATGAGAAATGCCACCACCGCTGCCTTTAAATGAATCCTAATCTTCAATTGTCCCATCATCCTGCTAAGATTCATTTATATTCTTATACATGTAAAATATAACAATGTGAGCTACATGCTGACAGATTAAAGGGACAGTTCACCCCAAAATCAAAAATTCATATTTTCCCTCTTACCTGTAGTGCTGTCTATCAGTCTAGATTGTTTTGGTGTGAGTTGCTGAGTGTTGGAGATATCGGCTGTAGAGATGTCTGCCTTCTCTCAAATATAATGGAACTAGATGGAACTCATTTTGTGGTGCTCAAAGCCCCCAAAAAATACATTTGAAAAACTCCATGACAATGTCTCTTCGCAGAAATCATGACCCGGTTACTCAAGTTACAGACCGTTGGGAGCAGTTTCATGTCGGACGTATTTTTTACTGCTAGCTTACTTTGCATCACTGCACTGTCACAAGCACAAGCCTCTCATCCATGAGTAGATGCACACTTCCTTCTGCATGGTGATGCGGTTGGAGGGTGTAGTTTGGTAGAAAGATAATAGTTCCTACATGAAACTGCTCACAACAAGGTCTGTGGATTACCTTAGTAACCAGGTCATGATTTCCAGAAAGAGACATTAATGGTGAGTTTTTCAAATGTGTTGAAAAACACCACAAGCAGAGTTCTATAGGGGTGTAAATACAGACAGTGCAGGTAGTGCATTGCACTGGGGCCTCTAGGATGGAGGGATTCGTAGAAAGTGATGCAAGTGATTCAGATTACCACCTTGGAAATATACCTGTGTTCATTGATACATTTTTTAAGAAAAAAGAATATTGTGTGCCATTTGCTACATACGTCCTCAAAAAGGCAAACCCATCTGCGTGATTGTTTTCTTTTTTCCTTTTATTTTTGACATAGTCAGTAGGTATCTAAAACAAAATTATATATGTGTTTGCTGATCCTGTGAGTTTATTTATCTCCTTTAACTTTATCTTATATCGGAGTTATGCTATGTAGCATGTGAAATAGAGTATGGTGAATGTGCTAGGAAAGGTAGTATCGGCACTGTCTCTACCTGGAGCTTAAATGAACAGAGCCTGGGTTTGTTGAGGGTGGCAGTGCTGTTTGGGCTGAGAAAGCCATGTGTAATGTAAGGTAAAGGAGGTTGTTGGGTTGGTGTGGGGAGCAGTGAGACCTGGCATTAAGGGAGTGTCTCTGGGACGCTAGAGATCACTGTCTAGCCTCCTGGAGGTGTCGTGGGACAAACTAAATGAAACACTGGTGAAAGGAGGTTCCCACCCGATGACCCAAAGACATGTTAGTTATCACAGCTCACTGGTCTGTATAGTTAAGCCTTGCCGTAATAGCTAATCATAGGGTTTAGGAGATTATTCACTGAGTGCTGATCCTTTTGTAGAGCACAAATGTCTTGTGTTTATTTGAATGAATATGCTTTTTCTATATAAGTACAAAATCTATAAATATCCTATAAAAACTATTCAATTAAATGATTAATTGTTACTTTGTTTGATATTTTTGTCAGGTATGC